TTTGCGCACTTTTTCTTACCATCCAGGGGAAGCAGCGCTACTTGTAAGCTCGCGTTAGAGTCGACTAACTGATATTCTCTGCGACAAGCATATGAAATCGTCCTATGACGCCTGCATATAACAACTGCATACGCGTAGTTCACTCAATAAGCCGCTGTGTTGCAAACTGAAAAGAACAATGTCTGCAAAAGTCACGCGTCTGTGGCCGCTTCATCTCGCCCTTTCAAGAGGCGAAAGTGGTACACGCTATGCAAGTGCGGACCTGGATGTTAAATGCACGCAGGGATTTCGCTGATTAGGAACCGTCTTGAAGGCCGCCTTTATTGGAGTTCCGCCGAACTTATGCGATCCGAACTTCGCGGCAGCAACAAATACAGCGATAACTCACATAACTGTTGGTTGAGTGGTGTAGACTGTAGCTTGTGGATAGGTAGTGTAATGAACTTGTGCTGGATAGGCCCCATGTTGCTGATAAGGTGAATAAGGCGTCCCCGGATAGACAGCTGTTTGTGGATAACCAGGTTGTGGGTAACCGGCATACGCTTGTTGCTGTTGTTGTTGTTGAGGGATCTGGAAAACTGGCGTTGAGTCCACCATATACATATGAATTCAAAAAAAGGACAGAAGAAGGAGAACGAAGTTGTAAGCTGTGAATCCTCTACAGGCATTCACAGTTATCTCTCCCATTGAATAATAATTCGATGATTGATTAATAGAATTATTATATTTGATAATTATAATTTGTCACTGCCGTGACGTAGAGTAGATTATTCATTCTACTGCACACCTTGCTGACTCAAAAGAAAAAAAAAGTGATTAGAGTCAAAACGAATAGAGTATGAGCATGAAGTTTTCAGTGCCATCGAAAAGCACAACAGATTGGATAATTCACCAACATGGGCCCATTAAAATGCATTTTTTTTACCTTGTGTAAGCTGACCGAATATGGCTCACTGCTGCAGCTGTGGTCCTGAAGTGAATGGGCCCGCAGCTGCAGCAGTGAGCCACTTCCTCTAGTGCTGAGACATAGAACGGGCAATTGGAGAGTAGCGACAACGACGACGGATGTCGTCTCTATACCCCCCCCCACGCCACGCTGCCCGCGCAGCCAACACGCACTCGTCTCTACGCTCCCCACCCCCCCCCCCCCCAAGCTGACACCGGGCCAAACACGCGCCTATGTAACCAAATGCAAAGCGATATTTGTCTGAGCCGTCACACTGTTACTTTGTTCCTATGACTGTGTCTTCGCTGCGAGGTTTTGGTACAGACGACGCAAGTGCTACTCACGGACGGGGTTAGTAGATGTCACTTGGCAATCACTACCCTCCAGTATCGTTTCCACGCCACGATACTGCAGCTGCACACCTATTCTCACACATGGAAAGGACAGTGCTCGTATGTGAGTACACTTCGTCTTAAACCATTGAAAACAAATACTCTCGCTGCTTGCGAGTTCGTTGAACTTTTGCGCATAGTCCCATTTTTATTTTTCGCCGTGTAACGCAGACTGCAGACGGTGAGAGGACAGCGTATCCTAAAGGGAATGTGCGGCGAGCTGGGGGAGAAGGCTTTTTACAGGATAGGTTTCCAAGCTGATCCATTCAGTAGTGGTGAAAAGCTGGAATGTGTGAGGTTACAGTGGGCGCAGGATGCCATAAGGACAGGAGCGCGCAGATAAAAAGGATAAAGGATAAAATCTTTACCCGTGATAAATATTTTTGTGGGATGTCTGAATGCGATGTGGCCTATACAATGACTTGCGGGGCCAGCCGATGTACAAGTCAGTGTTCTTATCTTCCCAGACGAATTTGGTACCAATATACCGTCCCCGGAGGGTAGAAGGCTTGGTTAGCCTGGGTCGAAAAACTAGGCTGGTAGAAGACGTATCCTTTATACCCGTACAAGAAGGCCACTCGGGATGAACACGGGGTAAATCGACAATCGTACAAGACCCAGGTTGTGCCCTTCAGCCGCAGCTTGACAACCTGCCAGCGCGTTTTCATGCCTGACCGCTCTATCCTCTCGCGTTTAGGCTTAACTTTTCATCTCCCATGCAATGTATTCGAAGGACAAATTGGGAGGATGAGGTTGATAAGAAGTATGGGCTATAGTGTAGTTCGCTGCGGACGGTGGGGCGTGTCAGGCAGTATGAGTGTGCCACGGAAAAACCCGTTCTCTGCCAGTTGTTGAAGCAGTTACGCGACAACAGTTGTTGGGAAACGAGTGATACGAACGACATGATACAGTCTTGTCACTTGCTCGCTTTAACAGCTGGTGGAGAACGGGTTTGGCACCGTGCCAAACTCATCCTGCCTGACACGCCCACCGTCCGCAGCGAACTACACTATATATCGCGTGCAAAATTCTACAACCTTCAATAGAATATGTGGGGCCAAAACGGTCCACCGACGCCGAAAACCTTTTTTTTCTCAGAACTCAAGTTGATATCAGGAAGAGATACCAAAAAGCAATGTTAACACAACTTCTGTAGTCCTGATACTGTACTTATGTGCATACGAACCTGCTTGTTTTCAGTCGGATAAGGTGGTGGAGGTACGTCAGGCATTGTTATCTCTGTGTTATCACGTATGTTACCCTTAAACAGGAACAGTTTACTATCTGGAGAATTCGAAAGGAGTGTTCATATGATATTGACATAAGAGCAAATTAAGGGAGCTGTTCGGCTTGGGAGGGGCATTTTGTAGGTTCGCTAGTTCCTTTGTCGATTCATGTGATTGAACAGATCTCATTTTGGTGAGACCTGTTAACTCTTGTGAAGCTACGAGCTGCTATAAGTGAGCCAATTTGGTTACAATGATGTACAGGTCTTCACAAGGTGGTCCGTACAGGCTTAGCTGAGCACCAGTTTACACATTTCGACTTGGGGTTTTAGTCGCCCCCAAGTCGAAATGCGCCAAATCAAGAGTCATTCAAAACTGAAAGAGAAAAGTCAGAGGGGAAAAAGAGTCACAAGAAAAGTCGATTGAGCGGAAAAAGCCGCTTCTTGATTGGGGACCAGCTTTATATGGTCGGCAAAGCATGCTTGGGACGATAAGCCGCGTTTTTGTGTTTGCTGAGTTAGTCATTTCAAGCTGGTGGCGGACACGTCACTGGAACATATCAGTTCCAAAATGAAACCTGATAGAAGAAATCAAGAATTTGGCCGTTCCCTCAAGACAGTTCTGAACTGTCGATTGATGAACAGTTTAAGAACTTGAACTCAGAGTGTAAAATATTGAGATTTCAACAGGGGACATTGGGGAAACTATAAGAGAAAGGGCAGTATTTCGGCTTGCTGGGGGCATTTTTCCTGGTACACGCCCATCGATCACTGGCTCGAGCATGTCATGTTGTTGGGGAAATTTCTTTTGGGATACGACTCCCACTGGATAATTTTTCTTCGGGTACGAGCCTTTCCTCAATCGTCTTCGTAACGCCAAGTTCCCAAAGACTCCCAGGCTCCGAACTCTTTTGGGAGGATAAGTTTTCCTCTGAAAATCTACCATGGCGGGAGGGATAGTGCGGGAACCAGGGTATAGCATAATGATGTGTGAAATGGCAGGTCAGGACGACCCCCCCCTCCCTTTCCCCACGAATACGTTTCGCCCCTCCCGGCTTCGATTGTTTGATCTGACGAGAAGGAATAGGTACGAAACGATTTTCAAACATTGCATTGTAGCCGCGTTGAGATCCCAGTGCGAAATGGCGCTGGAGCACATTTTTTGACAGGGTGGAAATCACAGAGCTGTATTCGGGGGTGATAGCTTTTTCAGGTGCAGAGTTTTTGAGAGAAGCAAGGCGGCATGTTATAGTCTGTTCCCCTTTGTTGTGTTTTCTTACTATCTGTTACTGAAACTTTCACTCATTGAGAAATATATTGGATGGGTTTTAGATGGGTCAATAGCAAATCACAGGCGAGTTTTTATTTTCGGAGACAGTCACTTCTTTCGCACGCAATATCGCAAAATAGAAACATCTCTACAGAGCACAGTTCCCCTTTCCAAGAAATGCTATTATTTGCTTCCGCCGAAGATCCACTATTTGAGAAGGAATTTCGGATGGGTCTTTAATGGGAGGAATTGTGCGCCACTTGAAAACACGACCTTATTGTAAGAATGCTGATTTGTTGACTTCAATGTGCCTCTAAAACACACTTTCCTTTAAAACCGAGTGGGAGTATAATTTGCTTATCATCGATCGATTTGGTCTGAGGGTGCGCCGCGCACTATGCTCCCACGCAGAGGTGGTAGAACGGTGTAACTTCTGGTGGTAATTACTTTTTAACCATGCAAGCAGATGTTCGCTGAGAGTTTGCAAAGGACTTATATACGCGAGTCTGTTTGAGTTGCAATATATAGTCATCTACATACTTATTAAAAAAGTTACTTCATTATTTCAATATTTTGTAGTCTTCCACACATCCGGGCTCTCCACAGTTCTTGTTCCGCTCCACGAAGACTCAGCGATGGCTCTTCCGCGATGTTTGGTGCTCACCGACCTTGCTCTTACAACACTCCCCACCCCTCTCCTTAGCGTTAACGTACGACCCTCTCGATGGCTTTCGCACAACGATGCTGTACCCCAGCGGGAACTGCTAACTGTGTGAAGCTATACAAGATTATCAGCTTCTTGCATTTGACAAGAGTCCACAGACCTCACCAATGTGAAACGAGTAGCTTTCACAAAAATTAGCAAAAGAAGTGCAGAGTGTCTTGCCCTCCCCTGCCCCCTAAGCCGGATAGCCGCAAAAAACATACTCCATTAACACACGTAACTCCATTGCCGTAGATGCGCTAATCATCATCGTAGTTTACGGAATGCGATTAATTCTAGAGAAACAAACCTTACTGAAAGCATGAAATTTCACTAATTAAATGTGCAGAAGCTATTCAGCAAATGAATAAGCGCTTGATTGAGCTGTAATTCTGCGACAAAATGTGCAATAAGCTTTCATCGCTGAATAGAAAGCCAGGTTCTTAAAGCGATAGCTGATAATGCTATTCTTCCATGCTTTGATTATTCGCGGAACTCACCAGCTTCGAAGAAGATCAGCTTATCGCACAGTCCTTAATATTCGTCCTCGTGACTGTTCCACTTTATTCCAAGTCGCTTGGCCAAGATGTCGAGTGGTCCTCTTTTTGGGTGGGGTTATGTGTCTCTTCTTGCAAGTTCGGCTGTTGCTTGTGAATGTCCCAATCGTTTTGTGCCCAAAGAGGTTGTGAGGTAGGACAGTCACCCATTTGGCCTGCCATCATGGCAGAATCTTTGCCAAAAGCCTGGAGAAGTGTTAGGTTTAAGATCTGTTCTAGCAAACGCCTCGTCAATCCGAGAGGTTCCATCGATATGTCAGGTAGTGTGCAGTACTCTTGTCATTACCGCAGGAAACTCAACAACCGAGCACCCATCTCTGAGTAGAAAAGGTCTGTTGGCCCAGAAGTGGCTATTTAGTTGTTGGATAGATGAAGCTTGTGCGCTCGAAGACGAACTGAACACCCATGTCACTTCCTTCCAGTGCGCGAGGGGAGTGGATCTGCAGCTGCAGAAGCGTGCCGCTTTCTCTGTTCAACACCTTGACGAGGAGCCATTTTTCTCATTAGTTG